GGTGACATCAAGAGTCTGTCTTGTGCCCACTAGGTTACCTCCCTCCCTCCGTGTTACATGTTTGCATACAGGACCGCCCTGGAGTAGGGTCCTCCTCCATGTATTGGAACCACTGGTCTGTGTCCTGGCCCCTTGTGGGGTGGGAGGGTGCATGTGGTGTGTTCACCTGTGGAACTCCCTGCCAGGGGAGGCTGTGGGCTAATCACTGGTGTTTGACAGGGAGCAAGATGAATCCCCACACAGTGCCTGAGAGCACATATAGCAGGCGTGGTCTGGGCTCTCAGATCCCATCACGTGGATGTCTCCTGGACGGAACCGGGGTGACTCCCGAGCGCTTCCCCCTCCCACTATCCCTCACACACGTAGGCCAGGGACATGCGTGGCCGCAGTAGGGACTTCCCTCGGAGCCAGCCAAGGCACCGGGAGCAGGCGAGGGGCTCAGTGGGGGCCACGCTCACAGGGCTGTGACGCTGCGGTTTTCCCAGGGGCAGCTGGCTGTGCCTCTCAGCCAGGCATGGAACAGTGTGCTGTCTGTGTGCTGCACCCTTTTGGGAGGTGCGGGCTCTGGGCTGGGGCTCTGGGGCCCGGGCTGGTTCCAGCCAGCATCCACCCTTCCCCTGGTCCAGATGTGAGTGAGCAGCATGGTCCCAGGCGTGCCCTGGAGCTGCCTGCCATGGCCACGTGCCGCTTGGTCACCAGGTTGCACATGCTGCATACTGCTAATGCTACACAGCGTGCAACTCGTGCTGCCTAAATGATGCACCAATGTAGACACAGCCAGTGTATTTTTAATCACTTTGGGTAAGTCTACGCTGCAGGGCGAAAGTTGAATTAAGCTGTGCAACTTGAGCTACCTCAGTTGCATAGCTGAAGTCAAAATAGTGCTGAAAGCCAAATTAAGCTGTCTACACAGCAGGAAGTCGAAGGAACAACACTCTTCTTTCCACTTCCCCTTACTCCTCGTGGAATGAGGGTTACAGGAGTCAGTGTCAAGGTGAAGGACTTCTTACTCTATTTCAAAATAATGGCTTGCTGTGTAGATATGCTCTTTATTTCAGAATGTCATAATCAGGAGTGCTGACCAGCACCTGGTGACTAAGGGGTTAACTCTGAAATTCTTACCTGCATTATTGTTAGCTGACTACCCATACCTTGCTAGGTACAAACTGGAAGAGAGGGGTTTTCTCTATTCTTCTTTGTTTTGAGAGCCAAAGCAGTTTCTCCCAACTATTGAGGGAGATGGGAGACTCTTCTCTCTCCAAGAACGGACTTCTTGTAATGTGGAAGTAGGGAAAAGTTTAGAATGATAGTCCACCAGGGTTTGTTGTTTTCCTGGTTTGAAAATAACTGCCCGCATCTACACGCGGCAGTGAAACGGCCGTTCGAAATAAAGCCCTATTTCGAACTACATGTAAACCTCATTGCAGGAGGAATAACAGGTAGTTCAAAATAGGGCTTTATTTTGAACGGACGTTTCATGGCCGCGTGTAGACATGGGCAGTTATTCCGGTCTTGTCAACTTCAAAAATGGCGACTGGCTGCGAAGATGCAAATCAAGCGCGGGATATTTAAATCCTGGGCTTGATTTGCAATTTCGGATGCCTACATTTGCAGCCCAATTTCTAATTAGGCTGCAAGTGTAGATATACGCTAAGGCTTTTAGCTCAGGGGCTTTCCCTGAGTATCTATATCAATTGGTGGCTCTTTCTATCTAGCCACTTTACTATGCTTGCAACTGTAGCTTTGTTTTCATAATAAATGATTGTTTCTTTTTTCTAATTAGCTGGGGTTGGTTGGGTTTGGGGGGTGTGGCTTTTTGTTTTGGTGTCCTGGAAGGTCTGTCTGTGTATCCGCATGTGTGACTGAGGGGTCAGCTACCACAGACTGCAGCTTGTTTTTCTCTTCCAAGCTCTTTGGGGGAAAGAGCTTGGGGTGCCCCTGGGGTTGATTTCAAGTGTTCACCCCTGTTTGTGGGTTCAAAAGCACTTGATGGTGGTAGCGGGTTTCCCAAAATCTAAGTATTAGGACTTGGGGGGAAGTTTTTGTACCAGAGCCTGTGGAGACGAGTTTGGAGTGCTCTTGTGGGCCCCTGCTTCTCCATTTGTTGTGCCAGAGTGGGGAACAGCCTTGACACAGAATAATGTCAATTATTCCAAAATAACTCTGCTGTGTAGACAGCCTTTGAAAATAGATCAATTTATAGGGCTCGTGCATATCTGCTCAGGTAGCAAAGTTTACAGCAAATGAAAATTAGGTACAGGCAGTCCCCGAGTTACGCGGATCCGACTTATGTCGGATCCGCAGTTACGAACGGGGTTCCTCTCCCTGGGCTCCAGCAGACCAGGGAGAGGAAGCAAAGCGGCGGAACACGTGGGCAGCGGACAGGGCTGTCCGCTGCCCACGCGCTCCGAGGCTTGGCTCTGCTTTGCCCCCCCCCCCCCGGTCTGCAGACCAGGGGGACGGGGGGACGGGGGCAAAGCAGAGCCAAG